ATATATCATTTATGTCGCAATTGGGGAAAAATATTGACGAGATAGAGCTGATAGCAAAGTCTTTCGGATTCTTAAATCTGGAAACGATATCAATTATTTATAATACATCGAGTAATGACCGTAAATCGGTGTTTGTTCAGTTTCTGGAAGCTTTCGTTCTGAAGCCGAGGCTGGAGGCTATCGACCACGTAGTAAGACGAGTACCGCAGATAGACGCTTCGTTACCGAATTCAGAATATATAGCTCAGTTGAAGATTAATATAAGACGTCGACTAACCCTCACCGCTTATGACGGTGAGACTAACGTGTAAACCTCATGCTAAGTCATGCTGCACATACGAATTCATATTTATTTACTGGACTTCTCATAGACGTATTGAAATGGCATACTGTTAATTCGTTCTGAGCCTGCTTCTCTTTATCGAAAAAGGGAAAATTGGCCTGCATTTCACCTATACCTTCGCTAATGTACTACAATTATCAGTAACTACTTATGTGTAATAACCATATGATGAAAAGCCTTGATATAGCCTTCAGTAACTACTTTAGCACTCTGCTATGCTTTAATATTATTAATCTAATCATTCTTTTCACATCATCGATGCAATAAGGAAGGTAAGAAGGTGAGGAACAGCGAATAAAAGCACTTTTAACATCGCTTATGGTGTCAAGCGTGCAGGGTAAACGTTCGGAACGCGTAGCCTGACTTTCAGGTTTAGTAAAGCGCTTATTTTTTTCTATTTTTGTAAATAAAAATGACTTATTAATAGAATAAGTAAATGTTTTAAAGCGTACACTTGTGAGGATAGATTATGTTTTATGGGTAGAACCTTATATGAAAACTATTTCGTGGTCGCTTACAATCTTAAAAAGCTCCTAGTAAAGGATTCCGTTTTTTTTTTTACTTAAAGTTTATTGATTCTAAGTCCTTGTGTAAATATTGTCTTACCTTAAATAAAATTCTCCAACCCACTTTCCATCTTCCATATCGCAATATTACTCTTATCGCTGGCGCTATTTGTGTAAGCAGCGTCGAAGCGTGTTTAGCGAGTTTGTCTAATGATCTAGTCTACACGTGAAAATTGACAGCAATATACAACGTCGGCTCCTGGCTAGAAATTAAGTTTTTAAAATTGATCAGGGTTCATCGAACGCATCATTTTGCGGTCCATTGTTTTGTTTTAGAAACAACGGGCTTTTTGCGGCACCAAGAACAGGGGACCAATTCACGCCCGCCGGAAGCCCGCCCAAATTTGAACATGCCATTTTATATGTATGTGTACATATATATACTTTGTTCGTCGTAACACTCAGCCGGGATTAACCGGGTATTCGTTTGTACTCGATGCGTGATGCCCTTTGCGACGCAGTGCTAACGGTCTCATACTCGTAGTGCTGACTTCGAACAATTTGGGTTCTTAGTGATGGTACGTACCCAGTGGTTTTCTTCCTTCTTCGGACAGTGTGTGTCCTCTTGTTGCATACGTTAGGTCTCCCTTGTCGACGTGTGCCTTTACGGATTCTGTGCTGCCAGACCCTCCTCCAGGCCTTCCTTCGTACCTAGCTTAAGTGAGGGCGACCATGTAGATCACAATGATGCCGCGGCGGCAACTTAACAAATGACTTCCGCGTTCCTGTATCGTTTCTCGCTTTTACAGTTAAGCGGAAATTGGGAAGTCATACAGACCGCTGCTGACCAGCCTCCACATCTTATGGCTGGGTCGGTTTCACAAATCAAATCAGACGTGGGCTTCGTCGCGGCCATCAAATTTGTTTGTTCATTCAATTAAACTTTGCTGTGGCCACTAAATCGTGGCCAAATTAAACTGTTATATATGTATGTGTATACTGTGTGGCCGCCAGTCGTTTAAAATCCCAGAACCCCGTTTATTTTTCTCAAATTATCAGGTTTTGTTTTGAATCGTTTTTCCTCGTTTTCAAGGAGTCGTTATATGGAGCTTTACTTCGACCAGTTTAATAGGTCGCTTCCCTCACTCATATAACATTAGAAGATTTTTTCTGTGGGTTTGCCGACAAGGCTGTCCTATATGCGCATATACATTTTCTAGTCTCCATATTATCACCAACAAGTACTAACTACTATATTTTCTACATGTTCCATAACTAGTCCGTTATTACTAGACATAGTAATGTGCATATTTTTCTTCTACTTATGTATCTTATGTACTTAATAATTTATTTAATTATGGATCTTCATTTTCTTCTAGCCTCTTCATTTTCTGGTAGCCTTCATCATATAATCATCGACAGTGATTATTTGATGTTTTTTCCATTACTACTATTATGTGGCACGAAGATCACACATACAGTAAAAAAGATGGCTCGATATGTTTTGGTACATGTTGCAACAGACTTTCTATCTCGATCCATTTTTTTTTCTGTTTTCAAACTGCTCAGTTTCTAACAGAGGCAGAATTATCGCTCATAGTAATTGTCTATGTTTATAAATATCTATGCTTGTTATGATGATGGTGCAGGGTAAATGTAAATGCTCGTGTCACTTAGTCTCGTAAAGCCAGGTACAAGGTACATGTATATATTAATCAAGATTTATAGGCTTTAGGGTAGGGTAAATTTCTCTATATTTGCGTCTAGGGGGTTCGAACAGAAACTTCTTCTACTTTTATGTATGGCAAAACTGTTTTCAGTTGTGTAACATAACCGCATAAATACAATGCAGAAACTAGAAATGCTACGCCATGAAACACAAGCTGGACCTTTGTTTATCCTATCTTAAGGCTAGTTTCGATTCGCCAACCGCTATTTTAACTGGCTGAAACAATACGTAATGGCCTAAGTATAGGACGTATATTTAGGTACAGCTTCGATTAAAGCCACCCTGGTCACAGTTGGGATAAGGACAAAGAAAGGCAACCAAGAACTTCGTAACGTCAACAGGAAAAGTACCAAGTTTTTGGCGAACGAGTTCAAGTCTGTTGTATTAGGCGGTGTTCACTACTTTTTACATTTTTACGAATGAAGAACGACCAGATCGTTTATGCCGATTGCTTATTTAGATACAACGTAAACGTCGTTAACGGATTGTAAGACATTGACTAGATGTTGGACGGATCAATCATAATGTTGACATCAGCAATGAATTTGTTTCGATTATCGGGATCTCTCTGTTTTACAGATGCTGCTTATAATGGCTAAAAAAGCCATTCGCAGATTATATTTTTTAAAAACATTGCAGGCTAGACAAATTACTACAGATTACCGCCGTAATGTAATGGCACCGTTTGGTTTATTCGATAATTTCGGACAGTACGAGAAAATCTTCGCAATGCCACACACTAATGTGTCTTTATAACTCGGCAGGAGCTCATGTTTAATGGTTGCAACGCACTCTTTGATGTTATTCGGTGAAACAACCGTTTACTGCGCAGGCTCCCTAAACACAATTGAACATGAAAAGTTATATATATATATGACCAACATCATAGAAGATCTGTTTAATTCCGCTAACAGAATATTAGAAAGCTGTAAATAAATCAAGAATAAATAAATTCTTGGTTTATTTACAGCTTTCACATCCTATTCATTTGGGATCAGATAGCGTCGGCTTTCGCAGTACCAGAACGAGTGCTATCCGACTAGCCAACAAACAAATGATGTTTTTGTGTTTTTTGAAACATATCTTCTATCCTCCGTTTACGTTTCGTTTGAAAGAGATGATTGCTCACGAACCTTTTACCATTATGGCACGAAGCATAATATCTAAAGAACAATGAAATATAAGCCTTTTTCATTATGCATATTGCTCCCAACGGTAAAATGGAATCTTTCTTTGATCTTTTTATTTAGATCCCTGCTAAAATTTCAGCTAGATTCAGTTGCATTGATTCGATTATTTATATATGTATATATATATATATATATATATATATATATACACCTGTAATATAACGTCAGTCACTGTAAACAATTTGATGTTTATTTTAGAAATTTGGCATTTATCTGAATCAGAATAAGAATCGAAGAAAAGCGAGTTCGGATCGCAAATCTATCTTATCCCTATACGCTTCTCTATAGATGGCGTGCACGAGTCGATTTTCGGTACGTTCCTACCCTGGCAGATACTGTCCTATCTTTTCGGAAATGCGTCAAGCTTTGCTTTTTTTTTTGTAACATCTACAGCTGATTTTGGCAAATGCTCATTGAATATGCAAGGGTAATAATAATAATAATAATAATAAGGACAATAGCAACTGAAATAGGAATGAGTTAAATACTGCAAGAGCACTCCTAGTGGGGAACGGGTTTACTGGATAAGTAGAGGATATATCACTACGCGATAATTCTTGTTTCGGAAATGTATAAAATTATATGACGTCTTAGGCCTTGACCGCGCCTCGATGAACTCATCTAGAAACTTGCGTGTAAATGCCGCCAAACAGCTCTCCCAAATCAGCAGCAGCTACACTTCAATTTTGAACCCTTACGAACTAATGACAATTCGTTGTAATTGTTTGTCTGACCCCGTATATATCGTATTTAAAGATCACCTGTGAAGTTACTTCATAAAAAAGCTTTTAGGTATCGAAGTGAGAAATATGTCTGCGATCGGACTCCTAGAAAGATACTAACGAGACATATATAATTGTTGTTTTTCAGGCTTTTAACAATGAAATCGGTATCGACAACTTGTGTTCGATCTCCTTATAGCCCCAGCGAGAAATCACTAGTGGAAACTAGTCTGTCTTAAGAGGCCCGTAAACGCCTTTCTACTGAGTTAGCGATGTGCCTTTAAATCCGTCTAATTCGGGGATGAAACTGGGGCATTAGCCGGGTCCCACTGACCATGATATAATAGAGCCTAAATTATTTTACATGTTCGCTGTCTAAGCGATATATTTACCTTTTTGGCCACTATATATATAATAACGTATACTTACCGCGTGCAGTTTCGTAATGGATAGTGAAGAATCGCCAATAGAGGTAGGCCCTAAATAACGGGCTTGTACAATGCAGAAGATAATTAATACTACATTCTCAGCGATATAGGTCGTTATGGCAGATTTCCAAAGTTCCAAACGAAGTCCTAAATTTGTTCCGTTACAATTTGCTGACATCATAATTAAATTATCAGCAATAAATTATGTGTTTTTTTTTTTTATTTTAGGTGACTAAATGCAATAATTCCTTTTATGATTCTTTTCATAGAGTACACGAACATTACCAGTGATGGGCAATATATAGACTTCATAAGCTTAAAAAGCGATACGTACAGCCTTATTTTCGCCCACATCAATAGCAGAGAGATGACTAGCTGAGAATTCTACATATCAAGCCAGCCGCGTCTGTTAAAGCGTTAAGCTTCTTAATTTACATTAGAATCGCACTGCATCACACGAGTATGTTTCAGAAAGATTCAGGCCCAACATGCGAATATCTCTACAATCAGTGCGTATGTATAACAGATGTCCTACCCATTGAACCATTTAGCTATCGCCGACAGGCTAGAGTTGTTCCGTAATTCGAAAGTGGGTAGAGCGCGTCAATATAACGTTTTTACAAAAAGCCCATTGGGCATCATTTCAGTAATAAACGTCGATATTTGGGTAAATGAGACTCGGCAAGTAATTCTGAAAATATATGATTATGTGAGATTATATAGGCTCAAAATAATGGACCAATTTTTCTGCTTCTTCGTGCTATACCCTCCAACTCAGCTGATCGAACATAAATGCTAGTAACTATCCAAACAAAGAAAATTCTTGATTTTCACGTTTAATTTTTCCGATTGAAAACAGATTTGATAAAATCTGATTTCAATCGGATTTATCAAATCTGTTTCGGATCGGATGATAAAATATGATTATGGCCAGAAATCTAGGGTAATTCATCTGCAAAAGCCAACTGGATTAGCAAAAGCTCTATTTAAGCTGAAATTGTAAACTCTCAGCAAACTTGGAATATTTTACTAAATACTGAGTAGTCCGAATATTATTTTGGAGAGCCTCACGCTTGCGATTGCAAAGCAGCTCCTTGAGACGTATCATAGTACGTACACGTTGCAGGCGTTATGTAAAAATGTAGAAAACTTTTTGCCGTACGTTTGGTGAAAGGAGTTTACGCAGGCTTCACTAAATACAATAATAATTTTAGGGACCGGAAGGATATCAGAAGTCATACTCGTTTCTGGCTACAAATTATCGTCGATTTTTTTTCACTAGGTGTTCCTCACAACGCGTACTGTAGATGTTCTATGTACGTTATTTGACATATCGATTAGCGTCTACTACTTCCCGGTACATGTTTGCATTTGTCTACCTAACACCTACATGAGCAGACCATCCCGATAAGAAGTCTGCCTGCACCAACAATATAGTAAGCAGTCCGTGAACCTTTCGTCAGCTTCACTGGCTGTCTTATAGATAAGCTTGTGTTTTCCTCAGCACACGCGCCTCCGTCTTCTTTTTGTGTAACAATGGAAATCAACAAACCGGATAAAACCTATGAGCATTCTCTAGTCTTTACGTTTCCCTCATACGCCACTGCTTTTGATGAGCCCCACAGAGCCGTGTTAAGCGGAGCAGACCAAAGTAGCAGACGACGAACTAGTCACTGGATCAATAGCAGCCGACGTCCGACGATGGACTATGATACGATAACGAATGCCGACTTCCGCTGTCACTTCCGTGTGTCGCTACGCAAACAATGCCGTCCCATCGTCAATATCTACTATAGGACCTTACCAATGATACCGACCCTATGGCTTAGCATTAGCTCAACCTTTGTATGCCCCAGTCTCTATCACTTGCCGAATCCCGGATTTAATCCCCGGCCCCCCCCCGGTACTATTACACTTGGTGCGTTGCCATTTTTGGCAGCGGGCACCGCCACTACTGCCGCCGCGAAAGGAGCGACGTAGAAAGCGAGAAGCCCTTTTCGTCGCAGGAAAAGGAGCCCATGAGGGCTTTGGTTGGTCTGTTAGAGTTACAGCAGCCGGGCGGACCCGAGTACCGACGCCCAACAAGCGAGTTAGTAGCGGGGCCCAACGACTCTCGCGATCTGTGCGATGGCAAAACAATGAACCGTTGACGCTTATCTTATCTCGAAGGAACTACATAAAAGCGACAGTCAAGCTAACGTGTTCGGCAATGGAAGCCGAGAACTTGGGAAACATGAGCAAAAAGGCCGCAGGGAAAAAAGCTGGCAAAATCCGTTATACTTCCATTCCCCGTCCCCACCTCACACCCAACGCTTTGTGGGCTGCCACGAGCAAAGACCTTTGTCATTATCCCGACCCATACGACGAAAGCGGCTCGGAAAGTGAACAGTGGGGAAATGAGCGTCGCCCCAGTGGAAATGGCTTGGCATTGCTAGACGTGCATACGAGTGAAGGTTGTTCCAATGGAAGCAACGATAATGCGTAGTGAACGTATGAAAAAAGTAATTTTTCCGTTTTGCGTATTCCATGTTTGTAGAGCTATGCAGAGAGAGTGAATAGCTGGAAATCGATAGAAGGTTGTAGGTATTGTCCCCAGGGTGGCGGAATGTGGCGTGTCTGCCTACTAAACTTTGGAACACGAAAGATAGTCTAGGTTCGAAACTGCGCGTAGACAATTTTGTTTCGTGCTAAGAAAAGCCAGCCGTCCAAAGCAATGCTTATCTATGGCAGAATTGGACGTGTAATTGGCAAATTGATGAGAGATGGTAGCTATTAATGGGTCTATCAGTGCTTTACGCCGTAACTGAGTACAGACCGCCGCTGAGTGCTGGGATCTCACTCCAGTTTTTGTGTTGCATCTATTTTGACAACTTTAAGGACCTGAAATTCGAAAACCAACGGTCTCAAAAAGTGAAGGACGATTAATTAAAAGACATCCATTTGTTTTGTTACGGTTCTTTGCATATATGAACGCAATACACGCATTTATACGATTAGTTAATGTGTAAACTGGACTAAATTGCGCCTCTTTTGTTTGTCGTAGTAGAAAAATGAACTTAAAAACACCAGATATTGACTGCCTATAAGGTAGGAGAAACCGTTAAGTATTTTTTTTAATTAATTTTACCTTGTAACAGATTCATTGTAAATAACAAGATCTCACCACTTACGTAAGTTTGGGCGAATAACGTCTAAATTGCAAAAGCTAGTGCTTACAATACCCCCCGACAAAATCAACCTCCTGATCCTTCTCAGTCACCTATGAGACAAGCAATTTGTCATAACATCAATATGCTCGTCACACACACAGGTAATTAAAATCATCCAATTTCTCGTCATGTAATTTCGTCGAGACACAGCCATCTTTCTTAAGTGGTCTTCCGCAATCAGGCTGTCACAGTGGAGTTCGGTAAGGCTTGCTCGGTAGGTAATTTTAGTCACTAGCGGGCCACTTGCCCTTACTCGCTCCAAGGGTCTTAAATTATAGTATGTAATGTATGCGCATAACTTCACTAGCGCCACTTTTCCTTCAGAAGCAGAGAAAGCGCTCCACCGGAAACGAAGAGTATGAAAGAAACGATGATAGAGAGAGAGAGAGTTCACGGTGGCCGTTTTGCCGATGCGTGCCTCTTTTCCGGACGTCTACTGCTAGGATCCGCTCTCACTGACTCTAATGTGCCGTGTCAAATACAGTGACCGGAAACTGCAAGTGGCCTCTTGCTGCCAGCTGTTTCGTCATCCTGTAGGCACGATTTTGCGCAAAAAGGAATAGGGATGTACACGCATACGTAACCAGGCCTTGTGCTTACTCGGCGACGAGACAGAAAAGCTGTAGCTCAAGGGTGTGGCCTATGTTCGTATGTAAAGCATCACAAGTAGTTCTAGCGGTCAGATATTTTCGGCAATATATGTGATCTGCTTCGAAGCAAAAGTTTATTTCTTATGCTTGTTTACAGGCTACAGTTTTCGACGACTCAGGTATGACCTACTATTAGCCAATTGGGTGCAAACGAGAAAGACCACGGTCTTAATAGCCAGTTAATTACAGATTTGTATCGTGTTATTTAACTTGGTTCTCCCAATATGATTCCTCGTTTTCGTCCGCATTTCGATCATTTGCTAAGGAGGTTTATATATCTAAAGCTGGGTAATCAGAACGTCCAGTTTTTTTTTTACTGAATATTAAGAAAAGAAAGGTCGAACAAGTGTATACTAATAGCTTTGAGTTCAACCGAAACTTTCTGATCTCCTCGAATTAGCTCACTGAGTCGAAGGGTTCCTTATAACGAACTTTTTTTTTACCCATTTTATCTCACGGGACCAAGAAGGCTGCATTTTTAATACCAAGCATTTTGTCTATTGTGCTCAATCGGGGCAAACGTTTTCAAGCTTTATCCGAGGAAAAAACGTTTAGCAGAATGATCTTTACGTGTTTTTGGTGTGCGTTCAATTCAATCCGGACAAATGGAAACTTATCCTACAGTAGGCTAGATACGATAGATAGAATGGCTAGTTCCGTTTTTTATCAAATTGTTGGCGCCGTTTGAAAAGTATTTGTAACCAATGTCGATTGGGATTGTCCCCAAAGATGTGAACGCAAAGCAAATTTGAAAGCGGCTAAGCTTTCTCCTGTACACCCTTAGTCAAAATCCTCGGCTGTATCAGTAGATTCGATGTACGAGTACTCTAGACTAGAATTCAAGTGCAGCAGAAAATCCAACATTGCTTGCATCGGGTAACCGTCTCTCGTATTGATGCCTTCAGTCTCGATAGTGTGTGCCAGTTCGGAGGTTTAAGGAGGTGCAAAGATGTCCAGGAGTTACGCTTAGTAGCGCTGAGTAAATCCCCTGGGAATCGACAGAAAAGACTTCGACAATGTATCTGAATCCCAGCCTAAGGTTGGGACTCGGAGTTAAACTTCTCAACTTGAACGTATCACATATACACACAAACATTATTATTTGACCAAAGAAACGAAAACGGCTTCCTATTATCACCGTACAAATATTCGAATAATCAAAAAATAAAGCAATGAAATAAGTGATGCAAGACCAGCGATTCCGTTACTTGAGGGCCGTTCCGCGTTTACTCGCCTGCTTAAATTGGAGCTAATCGGGACCGCTACGCCTGAAACGAGGCTGAGAATTGGGAAGTATCTAGGTGTAAGTCCCCTTCGCCACCATTCACAGTCACCATTGCTGCAGGCCGAAGTAACGTCGGGGGTTCCCCCTCTCGCCATCAGCACCGCTTCCTGTAACAGCTCCTCTAGGACCCGTTCGTTCCTCGACTTGCTAGTGAGGCCATGAGCCTTCTCGACCCCACGCTGGACAGACTCGAGTCCCGCTGCCTCGATCCAAAGAGGCTGATTCTCGTTTCGTTGCTGACTTCGTCTCTGTCGAAGCTGCCACATCCGTTCGTATGAAGGCGTTCGTCCACATAGACGGCGCACCAGCAGCAGCCACATTGCGCCACTGCGGTAGCATGGCCTCTGGCCTGCGTCTAGGCTTGCGCTGGTGTTGGTCCGGCATTGCTTGTCGGATGTAACTCACTGCCGATGGCCTCCAGGGAACCATAACGAAGAGAAGAAGCCGACTGAAAGCCTGTGAGAACCG